ATGAAGCCTTGGAACTTCGAGTTTTCCGAAGGCAGTTGAATCCTTGTCGACTACGCATGTCGTCTTCGTAGGTGCGGTGTACTCATTGCCATTTTTGGAGGCTCTGAGACTCGATCTTAGTCGTATGGTACTGTCGCCGTCATTTTTATACGCACTTTGTCATTATGCTACATTCCTCGAGGTTGGTTCATTTGACGATATGGTGCATCCTTTTGCCTCCATTTGGGAGTTATCTATATCGCGAAACGCCATCTGGATCCAACATTTGGGGTACCTCTCCGCCCAATAAAAATGGAGGATGCAGGGCTTCGTTGCTTCAGTTTGGGAATTCAGGAAGTGACTCGATTCGCGTCGACACCCCTCTGGAGGTGGACCCTCCCTCGTTAGAGGAGGATCCTTCAAATGAGGACGAAGGGGAAGACGAAGGAGGGATCGACGAAAGATGGGCCATCTAATACTTGAGGGGGAGATGGGCCTAAGTCTTCTGAAGTTGAGGAGGAGATGGACCCCGCTACACCAAGCCCTATCAAGCTCTGGACCTCGCCATCGATGGGTAGGGAGGATCTCATCGCCTCTATCCTTCGCCACAACAAGAAGGATATCTTGTAATTGAGGAAAGAACTAAATACTGCATTGGCGGACCGACAATACGCAGAAGAGATCGCCTGTGAATGTGTTGCTGTGATGTAGAAAATGGAGAAAGTCACTGATGACCTTTGGCGTCGGATTGAGCGCCTTAATAAGATGTATGGTCCTTCTAGATCGAACGTTTTAGATTTCCTCTCTTTTCTGTGACCGACGATGGTTTTTCCCGTCGTTTTTTTTTGTAATCTCGGGAGCCTGACGGTTCCCCCGTCAGCTGTAAATAAAAATAGAACTTTTTATTGCAATGCTTTTCTGCCTGACCTTTCTTTGAACACTCAGTTTTTTACTTTGCTTATATGTTTGTGTGAGAATATATTCTACTGCCCGCTTCCGCGCTTCCCGAGTTGCCCAATGGGGGGAGTGGGTAGGCAATGTCCCTGGCTCCCTTAACCTTGTGTGGGGCAAGGGGAGTAAGAGTTGCCTTGTCGGTAGGTTTGTCGCGTCGATACTCCTCGTCGACGGAATGTTCGACTGAGGACTCTTTGTTTGAAGTCATTGCTTGAGTGTCTTAGTGAGGGGAACAATCTTTTGTTTGGCTTGAGAACGTCGCTCCCACAGATGGTGGCAACTGTTGACGCGAATTATAGAGAGGTTCACGTGTCTCTTGGATGAGAGTGTTCACTGAGGAGCAAATGAACCTGCAACCATAAAGCTCGACGCTGGTGCGATGTCCCGCCTAATACACTTCGACGTTCAAGTTTGTAATCAGAGTAAGAAAATAGGAGTAGACACATTGATGTTTAAGTGACACGTTTTTCACTTACCTGGTGGTGATAAAAGTCCTTCCATTTTATAGGTGCAGGTGGCCGACCAGGAAGGACAAAGATTTTGGATGTAGGGCCACGCCGACGTTCAAGTTTGTAATCAGAGTAAGAAAATGGGCGAACGTTTCTGATAGTTAGTTGGTGGTGCCTCTACCTGCTGGTCTGGCCCTAGGTAGACTGCAGGTTGCAGGTAGTAGTCCTCAGCATGTTCCCCGTACAGCTATGGTGACGATGCATTTTTGTACATCACAGAGAGTATGATGTTAACCATCTGTGACCCTGCACCTAGCTGTCACCCCCGAAATCTGACACGTGTCCTGCTTAGATTTCTCCCACAATAATATTTAATATTGATGTGACAATAATAAATTAGCCTTATAATTTTTTTAATTGGAAAAAAGTTAACGAAATCTAAATTTATTAACATACTAAAATTAATGATAGAAAATAAATATGTTGGCGAAGAATTTATGAGAAGAGAAATTCCAATTTAATGAACTTGATTTGTATTTATGTATGTAGTATGTTACAAGCAAAGTACGTTAGCATACTTTAATTCGAGAGTTTGTTAACTTGACAATAATAATATGTTTTGTCTCATATGCAAAATTTAATTCGACGGTTTGTTAGCTTGTTCTTGAATCAAGGATATTTATCATCTTTGGTTTCTAGTTTGTTGAAGAATCTTTGAAATCTTCGACTTTGAGCTTGTTGAAGAGATTCGGCTAGTTGGTGAGGTTCTTCGATTTTCGTAGTTTGATGAAGTTTTTCGGTTTGTATGAGTTTTCAACGTAACTTTATCCGTGTTGGATGCTTTGCTTAAACTCCAAAATACTTGTAGCTTATTATAAATGCTTTGATTGCTAAATCCTTCTCAATGCCTCAAATGAGGGTGAGCTCCTCTATTTATAGTGTCTTAATGAATCTTAGATGGGTATGAACTTAATAGGTTTAAGCCAATCTCCATATGGCTGATCCAATTAATTGATGCCATTGGATGACCATAATAAAGACATGTGGCATAACTTGATTTGTCAATTTTAAAATTAATTTAGAACGGGTGTAAATTTATGATTGATCCTAAATATAATTTTAAAATATTGACGTGACATTTGATAATTGGCCAAATTTAAATAAAATACAAAATTAAACGCCAAAACTCCCTAACTCGAGAATTTAGAAAACACGAAATTCCCACAACTAGAAAAGAGAAAAAAATAATCATAAGAGCGCATTTGATATATATATATGTATATATATGTATATATATATATTTATATATATGTATATGTATTTATATATACATATATATATAACAAACATATATATATGTGGTTAGTTTTTAAAATTTATATATGTTTGCTAACTCTTTTTTCTTTGTTTTTTTAATGTACTCTCAGAACTATTTTTAAAATCATAGCCAAAATTTTAAAATGAATTTTTTTTTAAGAAGTTAAAAACTAAAAAAAAAAATACAAATAGATAATATAGAATTATAATTTTAAAAATAGAAACTAAAAATAAAATCCTTGTGGGAGGGGGCTAAAATCCTTCTTCTAAACTAAAACTCTTCTTCTCGTTCCTCATAAAATCACTTTTTAATAAAAAAATCCACAAGGATTTTAATTCACAAACACCCCAGTCTTAAAAACCTATTTAAATCTCATTTTCATACACAAACTTTCATTTTCAGTTAATAGTTCAGGTAATATTTATTTATATCTCTAGACTTTAAAAAAAATATCGAAGTCACCAAGTTCTAAATGTAAGTATTTTGGTCACTAATTATTGTTATTCAAGTTCAATCCTATTTTAGGTAATTTATTTAGCTAAAATACATGAAAAATAACCAATACTATGCCTCTTCCATGAGCAATTTAAAACACTATATATTTTTATTAAATGTTACATATTTTAACCTCCATATTCTTTAAATACATTACGTTGTCGACTTAAAATATATCTTAACTGATTAAAGTATATATTATCGATCAAAATGTCGTGGATTTGAATCTCCACATCAACCAATTATACTAAAAATAATAGATAAATTCATTATATTATAATGTTGTGGATTATAGAAAAGTGGTCAATTATTTGTTAAACAAAGAAGACTAAATGGGAAAGGAAGGAAAAAAGAAAAGAAATAATAATAATGAAAGGGGAAGAAATAAAAAATTGAAGAGAGTGAACCTTGGGCGGGATCAGTAATAGGTTGAGAAGAATTCTGAGGCTGTGCCTGTGCTGCTTCGTGGAGGAGCAGGAGCAGTAGCAGGAACGCAAACGCCGCCATGGATAAACCAAAACTCTGTTTCCAAATTTCCGATTATTGTTTACTTCTTAAGTCTACTTGGTCAACCTAAGCATTATTAAATTCCCCACTGGTATCTTCTTTTCAACAATTTTGTTTTGTTTTTTGTGTTGTTCTTTCAAAAGTTACGTCTGGTTAACATCGAATACTATTCCAGTTGGACTATTCGATAACTATTTGAACCATCCATGATGGTTACGATAAGATTAAGTATTAAATAAAAATTTACAGTTCATTATTTTTATATGATACCTTTCCTTTTTTATCTTCATTTTTATTTAGAAGTTTAAGTATATTCAAATGTTACAATTGTTTCTGCAAGATTGCATGTTTTTACAAAGTAACTAGTAAATTAGCAAATTATTATTCATAAATATTGACTAGCAGTGTAGTTTCTCAATAATTTTATGAATTAATCTATAATTATTAGATAAATTATGAGTTCATATAGTTTTATAATATTTTATTGTGTATATAAAGAAAATACATAGATGCTATAGAATTTCAAATACTTTAAAATTATAGTTAATCTCGATACATATATAAATGATAAAACGTAAACTTTATTGAATGGTAGTAACAAATACCCTAATACAACCGATCCAAGTATAGTTAAATTGGATAAGATACATATTTTGGACCAAAAAGATCATGAATTTGAATTCTTCTGATCTCACTTGCTGTACTAAAAGAACTCTGATACTTTTCAAATTTATTATCAAGAAAAAATATTTGCAAAAGTATTTTATTATTGGTATATTTATAACCAATTTTACATTATTTAAACTAATATATTAAAATTTTCATCTCATGTCAATATTTCTATATATTTTATTGAGAAAAATGCATTAACAAAACTTCAACACCATATATATTTTAGATTCAACATGTGGTGAATCAATATTGACATAATATGACAAGAAAAAATGACAAAATATAAAAAGGATCCATATGGACATAATTAATATCAATATTAATAAATTTTAACTTATTTAAAATAGGTGAAGTTTTTATTTGTTAATTTAAATATTTTATGCAATTTTTATTTTTTTTAGAAATATGGCTTGACATTAATATTTTAACAATATTTTATTGATATTTTCGTAAAATTAAGATTTTGATATTTCAACCCACGTGGACGCTTAGAAATCTTGATTCCAAATTTACTTTCTTTCTTCTTTATTATCTTCGATTTCGTGAACTTAAACGTATGGTTGAGCTCTGTATTTGAGTGCCTCGTTTTCAATTGGACACGTCGAGAGAAGTGTGCAGTCTCTCAAACATTTAGACATGTCGATGAATTATTGCAGTGAAAAGGACAAAAGAACCACAGTTGGGTTGGCAAGATTGAGTGGCCGAAAAATGGATTCCAATTTGGACCACTATGAAGGTGTGAAGATGAGTGGAAAAAAAGAAAAAAAAAAAGAAAGAAAATCTAATTTTTGTCAATTTTCAATCGATCAAAATCACTTATCCACGTTGGTTTTGATTCCTAATTTAAATGGTAAAATTTTCTGTAATTACCAGTTCAATGTGTAAATTATCCTTAACAATTCTTTATTAGTGCAACGTGGCTGTTATGGGTGAAATTATGTACCAAGCTCACATGAATTGTGGTTAGGTTAATGATATGCGTTGAACCACCCAACAAGACCTAATCCAAGCCGACTGGATCTGGTCGAGTCGATCCACCTAAACCAACCTAAAAAACTTTATCTATAAATAAGAGGAGGGACCTGGACACGAGGTACGCTCTCACTACTCTACTTTCTGCTACTCCCGATGAAACCCTTTGCTAATTTAGACATCGGAGTGTGTTGGGTTTAGTATCATATTTGGTGTGCAGTTTTCTTTGTGTGAAAGTGTTTTTCGGAGCTATCGACGCGAGAGATCGAAATCAAATTCCTACATCAACATTTGGCGGCAGTTATAGGAACAGACATACCCAGTTTTCAACCATTTTTCACATTGAAGAACACTCAACATGAGTAAGAGCAGAGATAACTACAATAGAGTGATTGGTGAGCCTTACAGCCATTACACAATTGTGGATGAGGGTGCGATAGTGGTCGACACTAGGTTCCCACAAAGTGGTCCATAGTTAAGAATCATCGGGTGTTCAACAAAGAAGCCTAGTGAGCCTCGAAAGATGTAGTCATGGTGTGATATATGATTGTGCTCTGTCTAGGCGTGCCTATAGTTTTAGATAATAGCAAACTCTCGTTGTAGCTCGTGAGTCAACGGATTGATGACTACCTAAGGTGATAAAGAAGCTATCTCAATTATGCATGAGAATTCCCCTATTCAAGGTGAACCCCCACAACAATAACAAGAATAACCTCAATAACAAGATGATGAACCAACCCCAAGAAAGCTAAACAGATTTATGCTTGGTAAGATGATCAAAGATCAAGAAGAAAAGATAACTTGTTCCTATCTTCAAGATTTTGAACTCTCCACAACCTAATTGATCAAACTAGATTGAAAGTTCTAACCATGCATTCTAAACACAAGAATACAAAGAAAGCTTAAAGTTTGAGAGAGATTAAACTCAATCTGAAATTTTCATTCATCAAATGTTGTGTTTGAAAGGCAAATGTACATCCCTATTTATAGTAATTGAAAAGATACAACCCTTGGATTAAGACACAACCCTTGAAAAATACATAGTAAATTAAATATGTGGATGAATCTGGATTTTTAGATTCATGAAGTTTCTTGGATGACAAGATGTCTTTTCAAGCTTGAAGGGATGCAACTCTTCACCAAGTGTGAACACCTTAGCTTGGAAGTGATCATTCAACTCTTATTGTAGTCTTTTAGCTCTAGCTCTTGTGATTGGACCTTGTGGCATAATGATTGGCTCATGATTGGGTTGACTTTGAGTATAAGCTTCATTTGAGCTGATTTGAGCTTGCTCCTCTTGTAGGCTTTCCCCGTGCACTCCGTGATCACTCATTTCTATATAATTCTCCCCATCTTCGAAAGGATTCGTCATCGAATCCAAATTACCTACATCAAAAAGGGATAAATCAGCAACATTAAAGGTAGCACTCATATTATACTTACCAGGAAGATCAATCTTGTATGCATTGTCATTGATCTTGTCCAAAACTTGAAATGGTCCAGCTCCCCTTATATGTAACTTGGACTTTCTTTGGTTTGGAAAACGTTCCTATCATTGATTTATGCTTCTCAATTCTTTCTTTTACCTGCGTATGAAGCTTCCTGACAAACTCAACTTTGAATTAGCATCAAGGTGAACAAATTTGGTAGGTGGCAAAGGCAATAAATCAAGAGGGGTCATATGATTAAAACCATAAACAATCTCAAAAGGTGAACACTTTGTTGTGCTGTGAACAGCCCTATTGTAAGCAAACTCAACAAAAGGCAACATTTATTCCCACATTCGAAGATTTTTATCAAGAATTGCCCTAAGTAAAGTGATTAATGTTCTATTAAAAACCTCTGTTTGACCATCAGTTTGTGGGTGACATGTGGTAGAAAACAACAACTTAGTTCCCGACTTTCTCCATAAAACCTTCCAAAAATGACTTAAAAACTTGAAATCTCTATCACTAACAATAGAATTAGGAATGCCATGTAATCTTATCACTTCCTTAAAGAATAAATCAGCAATGTTTTTAGCATCATCAGTCTTATGGCACGCAATGAAATGTGACATTTTGCTAAACCTATCAACAACCATAAAGATGCTATCATGTCCCTTTCTTGATCTAGGCAATCCAAGAATAAAATCCATAGACAAATCAGTCCAAGGTGTATTAGGAACGAGTAAAGGAGTGTACAATCCATGTGGTTTCGATTTTGATTTAGCCTCTCTACATGTAATGCAAGTACTGAAAACTTCATGAACATCATGATGCATGTGTGGCCAATAAAAATTATCTTTAAGGGAAACATAAGTCTTGTTTTTAGCAAAATGTCCCATAAGTCCACCTCCATGTGCTTCCTTAACAAGTAATTCTCTATAAGAATAGGAATGCAAAGCTTATCTTTCCGAAACAAGAAACCATCAATGATAGAGAAGTGATTGACTCCAATTCACTTCACACATTGAGAAAATATTTTACCAAAATCATCGTCATTTTTGTACATTTCTTTCAAAAACTCAAATCCCGGCAATTTAGAAGATAAAGTTGAAAACAAGGTATATCTTCTAGACAATGCATCAACAACCACATTTTCTTTACCACTTTTGTACCTTATAACATATGGAAAGGATTCAATGAATTCAACCCACTTCGCATGATGTCGATTCAATTTGTCTTGTCCCTTGAGATGCTTCAAGCTTTCATGGTCAGTATGGATCACAAACTCCTTTGGCCATAGGTAATGCTGCCAAGTTTGTAATGCTCTTACCAAAGCATACAACTCTTTATCATATGTTGGATAGTTCAAAGCAGCCCCATTCAACTTCTCACTAAAGTACATATGGGCTTTTGTTCCTGCATTAAAACTACTCCAATTCCTATTCCACTAACATCACACTCAATTTCAAATGTATTTTCAAAATTGGCAAAGACAACCAAAGGTGCAGAACTTAATTTTTCTTTTAAAACAGCAAATGCCTTTTCTTGAAATTCTCCCCATTTGAAAATAACATTCTTTTTAACCATTTCATTAAGTGGTGCAGCAATGGTACTAAAATCTTCAATGAACCTCCTATAAAAACTAGCCAAGCCATGAAACGATCTCACTTCACTAGCATTTTTAGGTTGTGGCCATTCCTTAATAGCTTTAACCTTGTCAATATCAACTTCAACACCATTTGCAGAAACAACGAATCCAAGAAAATTAATCCTATCCAAACAAAATGAACACTTTTTCAAATTGGCAAACAATTGAGCTTCCCTCCATGCAAGCAAAACCTTTCTAACATGCTCGACATGCTCTTCTAATGACTTGGAATAAACAAGAATATCATCAAAGTAAACTACCACAAATTTTCCTAGAAATTCACGTAAAACATGATTCATGAGACGCATAAACGTACTAGGTGCATTGGTAAG